TCATTTAACAGCTTCTTTATTACTGCAGTGACATTATGACATTTGAATAGCAATTCAATTTTATCTTCTTCTTTGTACACAAGACAGGGTTTGCAATTGACCTTACAATTGCCCGGTCATAATAAGTGTACAACTGTACAAGTATTATAATCATCAGTGAACAAATAACATGAATATCATTTTCTTATATATATACTGTCTACTAATTAAACGCAATGTCTATATACATATCTTAAATAACGTGTCTATATTCATTAGCATTATTTATATATGCATTGTCTAATTAAACATTATCTTAAGTCATATAATTCCTCACGTATATTTCTCCCAAAAAAAAATAATTCCTCACGTATATCTACCTCTCTGTCCTTTTTTATTCATTTCTTAAATAATAAAATAAGATATACATAAGACCATTATCCGAATTTCGTCCAACTTCCTCAAAACGGCCAAACCTTCTCCCACCATTGTTACACTATACTTCTACGTATCTATCAGATCCGATTTTGTGGTGAAATAGAGTCCTCGTAATAGAAATTGCCCTAAATAGGAGTAAAAACGTTTTGAAAATCCAAAATAGGAGTATCATGTTTTTTATTCCCTGAATAGAAGTAATCTGCCAAGTTTAAAAAAAATGTCATGTTTAAAGCCTTGTAATGCCAAACTTGGCAGAAATTTACTCATATTTAGGGAATAGAAAACATAATACTCCTATTTTGGAATTTCAAAATGTTTTTACTCCTATTTAGGGAATTCTCTCTAATCGTAATCCAAATTTGTTTTAAAAGCGCACAGGCAACATAAAATATTGGGAAAGCTGTCAAATAGGTCCTCGAACTTTCATAAAAAGGTCAATTAAGTCCTTCTATAGGAGGTTCTGTCCGGCCGTCGCGATTTGGGGCAGTTCCCGGTGGAATTTTTTGATGAAATTTTTTGAGAATCTTAATCACCAAGTCTAGTTTACTCATACCAAATTTCAACTAAAAATTCAATCGGGAACACATTCAAATTAATTCTTGAAGATAACTGCGCATTTTTGCGTTCTCGAATTAATTTGAATGCGCTCCCGATTAAATTTGTAGCTGAAATTTGGTATAAGTAAACTAGACTTGAGGAATAAGATGCTCAAAAAATTTCATCAATAAATTCCACCGAGAACCGCCCCAAATCGCGACGACCGGACAAAGTCTCCTATAGAAGGACTTAATCGACTTTTTTATGAAAGTTCGAGTACCTATTTGACAGTTTTCCCTAAAATAATTCCTTTTCGGATTCGGAGTCTTCAAAAACTACTATTGGGAGATCATATCGAGTAAGGTGCTGTTCTGTTCGTCTTATTCTTATTACTTATTGCTTATTCTTATTTTATTCAGATCAGATCAGAAAAATTCAAATCATATCAGATCAGATCAGAACAGATCAGAAAGATTCAGATCAGATCAGATCAGATCAGAAAGATTCCGATCAGATCAAACCAGATCAGAAACGTTCAGATTAGATCAGAAACATTCAGATCAGATCAGAAAAGTTCAAACATGATTTATCACTTTTATTATTATATTAATTATTATTATTAATATTTTTATTACTATTATGATTATTATTATTATATAATTATTATTAATATATTAATAATAATATGATAAAGAAATAAGATATTAATAATAGTTTTAATATTTTAATATAATAATAGTAATATAAATGCAATTATTAAGAAGACTATTATTATTATTATTATTATTATTATTGTTATTATTATTATTACAATATAATAATAATAATCTAATTAATATTATTATAATATTATATTATAATTATATGTAATTATAATTCTTATAATTATAAGTATAATCAATTGTAATTATTATAATTATATCTATATTTAATTATAATTATAATAATTATAATTATCATTACAATCATAATTATAATTATGATTATAATTATAATTATAATATAATATTATAATAATATAGTAATACTAATAATAATAATAATTATTATAATGATTATTTAATTTAAATTATAGTTACGATTATAATTATAATTTTATTTAAATTATATTTGTAATTGCAATTATAATAATTATAATTATAATTATAATCATAGAAACATTCAAATCAGATCAGATCAGAAAGATTCAGATCAGATCAGAAGGATTCAGATCAGATCAGAAACATTCAGATCAGATCAGACCAGATCAAAAACATTCAGATCAGATCAGAAAGATTCAGATCAGATCAGAAAGATTCAGATCAGATCAGAAAGATTCAGATCAGATCAGAAAGATTCAGATCAGATCAGATCAGATCAGAAAAATTAAGATCAGATCAGAACTTAAAAAATTCAGATCAGAAACATTCAGATGAGGCGAAGAGAACAGCTTCTAAATCTTTTGAATTTGGAAAGTTTAAGAAGCTGTTCTGTTCGTCTTAATCTTATTACTTATTATTTATTCTTATTTTATTGAGATCAGATCAGATCAGAAAAATTCAGATCAGATCAGATCAGATCAGAAAGATTCAGATCAGATCAGAAAGATTCAGATCAGATCAGATCAGAAACATTCAGATCAGATCAGAAACATTCAGATCAGATCAGGAACATTCAGATCAGGAAGCTGTTCTCTTCACCTGATCTGAATGTTTCTTATCTGAATTTTTTAAGTTCTGATCTGATCTGAATTTTTTTTGATCTGATCTGATCTGAATCTTTCTGATCTGATCTGAATGTTCCTGATCTGATCTGAATGTTCCTGATCTGATCTGAATATTTCTAAAATTATAATTACAATTATAATTACTATAATTATAAATGTAATTACACATATATAATTTAACAATGAGACAAATTTAACAATATTTTTTTTCAAAAAATATATTAATACATTAATAAATAAAATGTAGTCAAAGTAGAGTATGTGAATAGTGTAAAATTCAACATGTTGCATTTATTTAAGAATAGCACGTACGTAAGAGACCATTATCCGAATTTCATCCAACTTCCTCAAAACGGCCAAACCTTCTCCCACCATTGTTACACTAGACGATAAACCCGTGCGTTGCACGGGAAATCTAGGAACCTTTTGGTGCTCCATATATGTTTACGGTTTATCAAACTTATCAACCATTTAAGTTTTTTCTCATATTTCATATAATTTTTTCTGAGACAAAGTGATTATAAGTTTTTGAGATAACAAAACTAATGAATGTTAGCAAAGTTTCATGAGACAGAGTAAGTGTAAGTTTTATGATTTTGAATTTATGAATGTGACTTTTCTAATTTGTAGTTACTAACTGTAACTGAGAAGTTGTTGTGTTCGTCATATTTTTATGAGAAAAATAATCAAAATACCTAAACTCTAAAGAAGCGTGAGATAAACACTCCAAACTTTCATATGTAATTTAAATACCCCAAGTTTTATGTAAAATTTATTTAGGCAATATGGTCCGATCCTATATTATTCCTTTCAAAAATGTTATTTATAGTGTTAATTGCATGATTTAAAATAACAAATTAAAAATGTTGCAATTGTTCACTCTAGTGGGGGCATTATTATTTATTTTGCAATGGAAGTTTAGAATGTTAATTGTATTTTTTAGAATGCTAAAATATTTTAAATTGTGAAACTTACACAAAAAATTAACAATTTTGAAAGAAATAATACATGACTGGTGCTAAAAGAACTTTTTACATAAAAGTTGGGGTATTTAAATTATATATGCAAGTTTGGAGTGCTTAATTCACACTCCTTTTAAAGTTTGAGGTATTTTAATTACTTTACCTTATTCTTATTGCTTAATGTTTATTTTTATTTTATTCAGACCAGATCAAATAAGGGACAATTCAAGTTAGATCAAATCGGAAAAATTAAGTTCACATGAGAAAGATTTAGATGTATAGTTATAGTTATAACTATAATTATAGTTATAAATTTAATCACAATAATAGTGATGATAATAACAAAAATAACCACAACAATAATAAACATTTAATACATTAGCAATATTTAGATCTGAGTGAGATTGATTCAGATCAAATAAAAAAGATTCAAATTAGATATAAAAAAAAGTTTCTGATCAGCTCAAAAAAATCAGATCATATGAAATATTAAATATTCAAATAAAAACTTTTCTATCCGGCTAATTGACTAACCCCTAAGAGAGTGTTTGCAAATACTTAAAAAAGCGATTCTCGACTTTTGGCTTAAAAGGCTAAAATTAGTGTTTCCGAATGACTTCTACTTAAATAAACGTTTCTCGACTTTTGGCTTAAAACTGCTCTTTACTTTTACTACTACACAAAAAGCGCACATTTTACCAAACACTGCCACCGTTTAGTTTTCGAAAACATTTTTTCTCTCAAGTGCTACTAACTTTTACTACTAATCACTTTTTCCAAAATAATTTCAAAAAGTGTTTTTTTAAGCAAAAACATTTGAAAACATTTTTTAAATCTTAAAAAAAAACCTCTCAAAAAAAAATCTTCAAAAAAAGTATTCCACTAATTATTATTATACGGAGTACTCAATTAGTTTTAGTATTACCCAACTACTACTTTAGCAAATACTACGTATTATTGAAGTTAAAATACTAATTAGCTAGGATTATGCATGTTTTCGTAACTGAAAGTGCATTGATGAAGTATTAAGATATATATTTAATTGAGACAACAATTTTTCACATGTTTTGGCTCCAAATAGATCCACCTGAAATCCCACCATAGGATCTTTATATATATAAAGATAAAGATTATACTTCTACGTATCTATCAGATCGGATTTTGTGGTGAATTAGAGTAATCGTAATCCAACTTTGTTTTAAAAGCGCACAGGCAACATAAAATAATTCGATTAATTCCTTTTCGGATTCGGGGTCCTCAAAAACTACTATTGGGAGATCATATCGAGTAAATCTTTTGAATTTGGAAAGTTTAAATCTGGTAGGTCTCCTTTATTATATATCCACGGACTCTGTTAAAAAAGAATTCACTACGAACTTATTTTCTAACATCTTAAGGTTTCCTAGTCTCAAACGATCCAAAATCCCTTGTTATGTACTTCGTAAGTTATTATGAATGAGCAAATACTTGCAGAAATTCTAATCCGTTTGCCGCCGAATTCGGTTTACAGATTCCGGGCAGTATCAAAATCATGGAACGAGTTGATTTCTCATCCCTATTTCATCAAAAAATACGACGGTCGGCAACGGCGGCCGGATGATGTTGGTTTGTTACGCTTAATTATGGGAGATATGTATTGCCCCTGCAGTTTCTCCCATTCAAAGACGCCCAAGAAATCGCTTGAATGCGATTTTCTAGATCTTATGGTAAGCCGCATGTTTCTAGAACCGCTCAAATTCATAAATACCTCCAACGGTTTGATTCTCTGCAAAAGTGATCGCTATGAGCAGAAGTACCTCGTTCTGAACCCGATTACAAAAAGGTCGGTGACCTTGCCGCCGCTACAATGGCTTTGGAAATCACTCCCTCGACTCGAGCGCTATTACGAGATCATCCATTGAAAATGGTGACAATTTATGGTTTGCGGTGCTTGACCGCGAAACCATGAGAGTTTTCGTGCTCCCAAAGGGCACTCAAGGGTGGGTGTTAGCGTACAGTATCAGTGTTAAATCGCTCTTGAATGACACGGCCTCATCAGGAAAGAGGAGTAGAGAGCGGATATTCTTCAGTGGCTTGGTTCCAATGAATAATAAGAGGACTCCGGTTGCTGTAATCCGGAGGGAAGAATTCTGGGGGGTATTTCTTTACGACTTCGACACCAAAGCCGTTCAATCTGTGTCATATTATGGACATTCCATTGCCACCAAATGGAAAGCACTCATCCATGGCTCTGGTTTTCTAGCTCATTATCCCTATTTACGGCCTTCATCTCTTTCTACATTCGCTCTTTAAGTGATAGATTTCCTAATTGATAAATTAGTTTAGCACTTCATATATTTTTATATTTGTAGTTCTTATTTAAGCTTTACTTCTCATGTAACGACGTTTGACATCAATGCTGAGTTCATGGTATTTCTTGGGGAAGTATGAAGATGCCTTTTCTCAAACTAATTCCAATTTTAAATATCAAATCATCAAATCATTAAAGTTAATACCGGTATCAATATGGAAAGTTCCCGAAATAGGACTAAAACAATTTGAAAATTCCAAAATAGTACTGTCATGTTTTTTATTCCTAAAATAGGAGTAATTACTGCCAAGTTTGAAAATACTGCCATGTTTGAAGTCTAGTACTGCCAAAACATGGCAGTAATTAGTCCTATTTTGAGAATAAAAACATGACAGTCCTATTTTGGAATTTTCAAACCTTTTTAGTCCTATTTCGGGTAATATTCTCATATCTGAATGATATGTGATACGGAGTAATACACGACATTTAAGAGCCTGTTTGGTAGCACGAAAATCGGCTGATTCTGCTGATTTAAGAAAAAATATTTTTAAAATATACTTTGTTAACAAAATAAAGAAAAAATTATATGTAAAAATAACTTAAATGATCATCTATATTAACTTCAGGCAATACAACCATAAAAGTAATTCCAACCTTACTTTTTTTTTTGCTTATGACACAATTCAGCGCGCGAAAGCAAAAGTTACACGTTTGGTTAAAAAGTTGGCTGATAAGCCTGATAAGCCGAAAAACAGTGTTGCCAAACGGCCTCTAAATATTATAGGATATGATATTGAAGTTTCTTATATACATAATTAATATGAACCGTTAAAACCATCAATATAAAAAAAATTCTTTCTTATATTTTTCATGATTATTTAACTATACATGACTTTAAAAAATAACAATAATATACTCCCTTCGTTCCCAATCGTTTTGCAAAAATGATTTACGAGTTTTCATTAGGCATAAAGTTAACCCTCCTTTTACAATTCTTATGTTATTTCATAGCAAAAAATATTTGTACATCTTGAATTAGATTAAAAGTTCTACTAAATTGCAAACTTCAAATCTAAAAATAATTACAACTCATGGCGATGGGTTAATAGATTCTCCATTACAGGTCTCATATGTGGACAGGGACGGATCCAGGATTCTGAGTCAAGGGGGGCGAAATTTTTCGTTAGTGTAGGGGGTGATTTTTTTTTTGTTAGTGTAGCGGGGCGAAATTTTTTCGCTACTGTAGGGCTATGCGGCTATTTTTATTCAAAAAATGACATTAATACATGCACATCCCGAACGACATTTAAATCTATTACATTCTAAGTTTAGACGATGACAAAGACATCAACCAATACATTTTCAATAACTTCTACATTGTTTAACCTCATGAATCGGTTATTGAATTGTAATTTTTGTCCACCAAGGAGAGTGTTCATGAGGCATGACTCATGAGAAGTTTTCTTAATATTACAATAGTAGTATACTAGTATGTATGAGATTGTTGTTTTTAGAATAATATGCACCACATACACACACACACATATATGGTGCATATTATATTTTAATATTTTTATTAATTCTATAATAATTTAGAGTTTATTATCCATGCAATAAATTATTTTTAGAAAGCAAGAAGTAAATGAATTATGTAATCTAATGTCTATAAATATTTATATTTTGGATTCATTTCACGTGATCTAAAAATTGTGTGATTAGTGTGTCCGGTATTTAATATTGTTTGATATATGTTTTACGAAATCCAGTACTTGTTATCTAATAAAGATAATTAAACATTACAAAACTAGGAATTCTTATATAATAAGTATCCTAAATCTTAAATAACGAGTTACTCTATTGTTTATTTGTTTAAGTTATGTAAATTATTTTAGATGTTTCTTCTTTTAAATCTCCAATTAAGTATTACATTATGTAAGACTATATATATTAATTTTGAAAATTAAAAGCTAAGGGGGGCGAATCTAATTAAATTATGAAAGTTTTATGAAAATATTACATATATGGTAAAAAAAAATTGAATGTCCAAGGGGGGCGGTCGCCCCCCCGCGCCCCCCCCGCGCCCCCCCCTAAATCCATCCCTGTATGTGGAGAAATACGATTCGAACTTCCTCCTAGGGCAGAGCCGCCGCTAAGTCATTTCCGATTTCGATTTTTCTTGATCGAAGTTCGGTCAATGTTTCCCTAGCGAGATATCTCGCGTAGGGTTTTTACTTCGCCGCCCTGGTGCGTCGTTTCTTTCAATCGAAGCAGCTCTGCGCCGGATTGCCGTGGTTTGGACATAGCTCGGGTTGGATGATCGTGGCAGCGAGAAGATGGTGGAAGAAGCGAGAGAAACATAAGGATGATTGGGACATGGTTATCGTGGAGAGGCTGGACGCTCCATTCGATGGCATGGATTTGAGTCATACTGTGGGTACACCACTGAAAGAAGGTATCAATCGAGTGATGGTCCGACCTCCGCCTGAACCACCACCATGGGTTGTACGAGGTGCTAGAATCCGTGAAAGTTTTCCTAGTTATTTTTATCTGTTTGTCATTTGTTTTCTCGTGTTCATCTTTGTTGTTAGTTTTGACAATTTGTTTGAGTTTTTAGCCTCTCTTTATGTCATTGTGTATGGTTGGATCTATGAGAACAAGTTTGGTTGTGTCAAGCTCACTACATGGTTAGCGATTCGTGTTGCTCTTTCAGGGGTGACCGTCTCAAAGTCTCACCATAGGGTTACAGTCGTAGTTGTTGGAGTTTCAGTTAGTGTCAGTTTTATTTTCCCTTTACTTGATGTAATGATCCTAAATCTTTTGATATGAATAGAGACTTGTTTTGATGAGAAAAAAAATAATTACAACTCAATACTCAAAATTAGAGAATAAAGTTATACCGTGTCGATCAAGTACATAACTAATTTCTTGAAATTATATTAAAAGTTGTACTAATAAATGGATTTATCAAGCTTCTGATTTAATCCATATAAATGTAACTCTAATGCATAATAACTAATACAGTGTAAATACAATAAATGGAGGTTTGGACAGAAATGACCTACAAGACATAAAATACAATTGTGATTGTGCTTGCCTCTTGGTATTATTAAATATACTTTTATATATTAAGTATAAATAAATACAATTAGGAGTATGTAATAATATCTTATCTATAGCTTCTCATCAAATCTAAGTTGATGATGTAGTGTATTGCTGCCTCTTTAGAAAACGATAGATAATGTTTAATGCATAGGGTTAGCGTTACGTGCTGTTTTCCAACATTTAAATTTTAAATACTCCTTATATTTAGTACTCGTATATAGGAGGGGCGGTCCGGCCATCACGTTTTGAGTTAGTTCCTGGTATTTTTGCTCAAATGTTTTGAACATGTTTCCTATGAAGTGTAGATGATATTCACCAAATATCTCACCCTACCTTTCACAAATTTTCTCAAAAGAGTCCCATGTTTCATTTATTCTTTTTTCTCCCTAAATTTTTCTTTCTTTATTTTATTCACATGCACTTTTTTATTCTTTTTTCCATCTTTTTGTTCTTATTTCTTTTTCATATCTATCATTTTATTTCTCACTCTATTAGGAGTTTTTTTCTTTTTGTAAAATTTTCTTCCCAAATACGGAGTAGATGTTTACGCAAAACCGTCTGGTTGACGTAAGACTCGGACAGCTGCCGCACGGGTCACGTTGCCACAGTCACATACATGTGAAACTTGAGTGCTGGAAATGTCGAGGTCCATGAACTCCTTATGAGGTCCCAAGCTCAACTGGTGAGGACAAGCTCGGGTGTAATGTGCTTGTTAGGAGGATAGAAACCTCGGTTTGCGATATGCAAAGTGGTGGTGCTTTAATTTCTCTGTTCCGCTGGCTTCTTGGAGTGCCAGTTGACTTCAAGCTCGGTATTAATTAGGCGTTGACTCGAAGACACTACGTGGACCTTGGCCTCAGATGCACTTTTTACCTTAACTTGATATTCTGGGAGTGGAGTGTTAAAATAGAACTATCATGTTTTTATTCCCAAAATATGACTAAACAGTGTCATGTTTTGGCTATCTGACTTTAAACATGGTATCATTTTTCAAACTTCAGAGTAATTACTCCTGTTTTGAACATAAAAACATAGCAGTCTTATTTTGTAATTTTCAAACTTTTTTGCTCTTAGTTCGGGAATTTTCCCTTAAATCAAACTTTTTCGAATGCAAGACTTTGAACATTATTATGCAACCGGTTATTTCGCCGCATAATATGTCACACAAATAATGTAAACAATATATATATATATATATATATATATATATATATATATATATATACATATATATATATATATATGCTGATGGATTTTAATTCTAACTACGAGAGTTAATCTACGAGAGCAGATGAAATTTAGGCAGCATAAGACAGTATTATTATCCTGGAATTCCGATCCTTGGTAGGATGTGTCAAAAAGTATTTATAGACCTTAGGTTCTAGTATTCTAGGAGAAAACCGCTACATTTAATGCAATTAATTACAATAGAGTCATGTAACGTCTCGAACGTTGTGCAATAATTGTTTCCCTCGGGTCCACGTTTCTTCCGTTATTTTCTACCGCTGCCAGATGGCTATGCTGGAATGATAACCTACCACATAAGCCCTAGGAAGAATCTGACATCGCTAAAACTCCATTCATGCTCGAGGTCCGCTGTCCAGCCTAACCTGGTTGTGGGTAAGTTTCACGGGTCGTATCCCTAATTAGGCCCATCACCTATTATTTATTATTAATCCTGATTAATGGGCCGATCCCTTCCATGCCACCTCAAATTAAAACATGTGTGAAATTATATACGATGTAGACATGTAGTATATTGTATAATGTATACTACCTCCGTTTTTTTATTAGTCCTTCTTTCCTTTTTGGGATGATTTTTTTTATCTGTCCTCCTTTTCATTTAAGGAAAGTTTTTACACTACCCCTACTACTTTCCTCTTAAAACCCGTGACAAAGCCTAAGAGGACTAATATTAAAGAACGGAGGGAGTATTGTCTTGTAAGAATTAATCTAAAATATTCTTCGAATATGTGCCCTGTTTAGTGATTACGCCATTCTCCCCATGGCGGAGCCAGACAT